CGTGGCTACTTCCATGACTTTCTGATCCACCCTCTGTGGAACCCGCATGATCATGTGTTTGGCGGCCTCTCTCTCTCTCTCTCTCTCTCTCTCTCTCTCTCTCTCTCTCTCTCTCTCTCTCTCTCTCTCTCTCTCTCTGCTCGCTCTCTCTCCACTCTCTCAGTCCCACTCTCTTTCTCTCTTTATAATCTCTATTTCACTCACTCTTTCTCCTCTCCTTGTCTGTCTGTCTATCTGTCTTTTGCCTCGCTCACTTCAAATATAATCTGACAACGTCCATTGGGCCGGTGTCTGTTGTGTGAAAGTTAAAGTTCTAGACCATGGCCGCAAAAGAAATGCGTACCGTTCCTGACTACTACTGTACTGCGCAATCTTAAGATTTGAGTAGATTTTGTAAGGGGGGGGGGGGGGGTGGGGGAGCTGGGGTTAGTTTAAAATGCTGTTATTTAATAAGTATCACTGTCTTTCTGCTAGAATACTGTATCCCGCTCAAACTGGTTTAGCCCTGACAGGCAGGGCCTCGCAGCCCGTCTGTTAAATGATTCGTACAAACTTAATCGATGAAGGCGTAAAACATTAAGCAATACCCATATTACTGAGAACCAATGGCGTCTTGTAGGGTGAGCTTGTAGCTTCAGCCACGCCTGGCTTTCTTCACCTGAAAGTTACTCTAAAATCAAAACAAAACATTTCACGAACTATTTTTAAAGAGATAAAACATATTGTATTCCAATAAAAAGCGTAACTCCACGAACACCTGAAAGAAACTTTTGCGGTATAATAACTCGAAAAGTGATCTGCATGATCTGGATGTCTGCTACTATAATTTCCTCAGACTATAGCTCCGTCAGTCAGGCGCTCTGTCCGTCGGGAAGAATGAAAAGTCATTGGTTTGTCTGTTAAGCCCCAGCACTTAAGTTCCTACAGACTGAATATCAGTGGGGTTTTGACCTTGCATTGCTCAAGGCCGAGACACAGCAACTAGTGGTTCTGTTAGGCTCGGGGGAGGGGGGGTGACGCTGTACTGTGTCACGTGATTAGACATCATGCACTTGACTTGTTGACACCAATTTTATTAAATTGCGCACTCTCGCGGCTCCAGTCCAAAACGTAGAGTAAGCACACCCTCCCCCACCCCTCCCCTTTATCCCCCTTGGCTGTGTGCTCTTTGGTTGAGTAGTGAATTGAGGTAGTCTTAATTGTAAACGTCTAATGTTTGTTCTTCACTGTAGCAATGTATCGTAAGGAATACTTATTGGAAATTCATTTTAGTTCTTCATTACGAGAAACTAAACTCACTGTCAAGAGACTGGGACCACATCTAACAGCAGAATTTCTGTATCCTGTTGTGAATGGAAAACAAAAGAGATATAGAGATATTTGAATCATTAATTGTCTATCATGAAAGATGAACCATTCAACCAAAAGGTTATTGGAAAATGTGCTCAACAACAACACCGAAGGACACAAATCATGTACATGTATTAAGACGATTTGATGAGTCCATTTTTTCTAGTTCCAAACGTAGTATTGCCACTAGTAAGATTATAATACTTTTGAATCAATTTAATATTTCAACGTTGTTGTTTTTCTATGCGTGTTTCACTGTCTTTTCAAACATTATGCATCCTTTATAATCTGAGCGGTCTCAACGTTTGGACACAGCAAGCCACACCCTCTTTAGAATCCACCCGCCGCTACTGCTGAGTACTCAGATCTCATATCGTTTGGACAGTATAGTAAAGGGAATCGGGTAAACGGTTACCGATTGACGACGAGTTACAGTTAAAGTCACGCGCATGCCTCACGTTTGAACGAGTGTTATGAAGTCAACCTCAAAGCTATTTTAGATCAGGCCGCGTGACTTGTATGGCAGGCTCCTGCGTTCAAGGTGGATCATATTTGCTGTGAGAAAAAAAGAAAGTCAATACGAAAAGCGGTGATAGACATTAAGGGGGGGCTGCACCTGAAGACTATCTCGGTTATATGTGGACCAAATTTTACCAAATTTCGCACATATAACAAGCATAGTAAGGAGTTTAAAAAACCGCAATCAAATTTGAGAAAACATTTCGTTTCCATGGACACAGCGGCCATATTGGATTTTGTTGACATGTCTTACGTAATGAACACCGCACTTATTTTTCATGGAAATTGATTGGGGGTTTTTTGCATGCATGTTAGTAAACATTAGATCTAAAAAAAAAATTGTGGTTATTTCCTAAACGAATTAGAAAATTTGTTATGAATTTTTTTCCTGAGGTAGTATTCAAGTTTGCGAAAAATCCGTAAAAATCCTCACTCCGGAAACCACTAACAAAAATGTATTTCATATATCAAAAATTCAATAGACAAATGTTTAGTATTATATATTATCTTCATTTTGTGAAAATTCCATGAAGCTTGGTCAAAAAATGGTGGAGTTATTAAAAAAAGTATAGAGAAAAATCGCGTTTGTGTCACAAGGTCGCTAAAGCTGGTGTTAATGCAGCCTCGCATTGTTCTCACTTGAACGTGACTTTGATTGAATATATTCTTGTTGTTGTTGCTGCTTTGTGTAAAGAGTTTATCAGCCCTTATAACAAAGGAAGATCACATCAGTGACAGAGTGTTATAATTCGCCAAAATAAAGGGAAAATAACCAATTAATTATGTTCACATTTAACCGGAAATACAGACAGTGACATCGCTTTTATTCTTTAAATGTAATAGACAGATACACGTGGCATCATTCTCAAACTATCAATGTTAACCAACTAGGATGGATATTAAAGAAATCCAATCCGCTGTTGTTAAAGGAAGCAATATATTTTGTCTTAGTTTCAGTGAGCGTTTTACAGCACTTTCAACACAATTAGGTCATCTGAGTGCCGAAGAATAGAGGTGTTACAAAAGAGTAAGGTTAACAAACACATAAAAGAAGAAAGAGAGATAAAGACGAGAGATGTTTGAAAGGAAAAGGGGAGCAAACCACACCAAAATATCCCACTCTGTTATCTCTAATAAAGCTACAATAATTTGCACGTCGGGATGGCAGCTTTATAAATTTAGTTTTTCTCTTCACTTGTCATTTGCTCTCCGAAGTGCTTTGGGAAAATCCTTTAATGAAGATATCAGCCTACAACACAAGCGAACTCTCTGTAATGACTAGATTTATGTTTATATGAAAACTGGCATGAAAGTCCCACACCATCGCCATTAGTCTATGTATTCACAGTCTTTGAGAAGTTTCTGAAAAAAACAACAACCCAACAACGAGTAGGCCAACAATGTAATCTCACAGAAGACAAAAGACGGACAATGTAGCCCACCACAATTCATGCTATCCAGTAAGTAGCTGTCTAAACTTTCACTTTATCATGAGTGTGTCTATAACAGTAAAACGCATAGAAAATGAAAAGAAGAGGCCATTTCGAGCTCTGTATAGCAATTAAAAAAAAAAAGAACAAACCAACAACAAACAAAACAATAAAAACCAGAGGAATGCTTTGCACTTTGAATGGATCATCTTTTTAATACATTGTCTTGGTCAATGGCAGGTTTTTTGTTTTTTGTTTTTTGTTTTTTGTTTTTTGTTTTTGTTTTCGGTTGTTGTTTTTGTCCTTAGCTGTTTTGCTTTTTTTTTGGGGGGTGGGGGGGGGGGGGAGGGGTTGGTGATAATTACATTCATGCACAGAAACACGTTGTGGTTGATTTTTGTTCTAAGTTGTAAGGTTTTGTGTTTTTCTCAATTTTGATTGAAATTTCCAAATTAATCGGCGGATTCTCTTCGAAACATAGTGACATATTAGAACTCCCCATACATGGATTTAGTTTGCGGCAAATTTTATTTAAATTACTGCAAAGGTGACCGATGTTTAGCCCATTACTTAAGTCGTTTCGTTTCAGACGTCCGGTGTAGTATAAATAATTCATATCTTCCTTGTAAACCTGTAACTGTTACAAACTTACGAAATCACTATCTTAAAATACGAGCTGATATTTGAATTACAGCAGTCGGGATAATGGATGGGGGCAAGCGAACTAGAGGGGAAAGTGGGGTGGGGTTATGGTGAGGGGGAGTTGGGAGAGGGAAGGAAGCGTAAATTAAGGACGTGTCAAGTCCATGCGTACCGGAGGAGAGTACCTTGGCCCCATGTCTAACCTCGACAAAAAGCCACAAGTTGTATAAGGATAACATTTCATGATAACTCAAACAAAGAAGGGGTATATATAAGCTGTGAAAGACGAGGGAAAGCGTCACTTCTGCTATTACTTCTAGCAAAATGTCTGTTCATTTCCAGGTATCCGTGGTTGCGGCTCTGCTCTGCTGCGTTGCTTCATCCTTTGGACAAATTCAGAGTCCGAGTGCGACCTCAAGTCTGAGTCCAAGTCCAAGTCCAAGTTCAAGTCCAAGTCCAAGTTCAAGTCCGAGTGAGTATTTAAAGGAATTTGTCGCAACCGCCGTTGTATATATCGTCATTGTTGGTTGTGGTGGTTCTGCTCCTGCTGCTGCTCATGGAATGATGATTATGGTGGTGGTACTATTGCTTGTTGTTAATTATTATTGTTGTTGTTGTTGTTGTTGTTTTTGTTCATGATGTTCGACCTCTGCCTTTCCCCTTCCTTTCAACCTACTCGCTGTTGCTGTCTCCACCTGTTTGTTCACAATAAGTATCTCTAACTTAATTAGGGTATTTTGAAAAAATCAACTTTTATGACAAATTAACTTTAAAGACTCACGGCAACGTTGTTGTTGCCACTGCTATTTTCAGTTCTGTTATTGTTGCTTCTTTATTTATTTTTTTACAATTCTTTTTTCCTCGTTCTTCATCCGTTGTTGATGTTGTTAGGATATTTTATAGTTGTTGAGAATGTTCTTCTTTTTCTTCTTCTCCTTCTCCTTCTCCTTCTCCTTCTCTTTCTCCTTCTTCTTCTTCTTCTTCTTCTTCTTCTTCTTCTTCTTCTTCTTCTTCTTCTTCTTCTTCTTCTTCTTCTTCTTCTTCTTCTTCTTCTTCTTA